GCGTGATGCGTGGGACATCCTCGACGTCAGCATTAGGACAGGACAGGCTGGTCGGAGGAAATGGTGGCTGAACGAGGGCCGCCTCGACAGGCAGACGCGGCAGGCTCGCGGACTGGTCACGGTTTCTCCCCCTAGAAGGGACGGCACCCGGGAACAGTTCACTCAGCGAAAGCTTGCCGCGATTGCCAACGAGTTGTTAGGCTCCCTCGATCCGTCACATACCGACCAAAGGGGGGTTGACACAGGGATGAGAACCGATCCCGATACGCAATCCCATCAGTCCGATGATGCCATGGAGCCGCGCCATCCGCGGCCGCCGCCGCGCCCTGCCCCTGGCGACGATGCTGCGTCCAGCGCCTCAGGCGCGACGGACTACGCGCCCGCGGGGCCACGTGCCAAGAGAGCGCGTACATCAGATTACGCCGCCTACTGGTGCGACGACCTCGAGGACAGCTACTGGGGCCTCAGGTACTGGAGTTACTACATCAACTGTTGGATCTACATCGCGATCAACAACGATGAGTACGCATACATCCAGGACATCCAGCACAATGATTGGTTTCGCAACTGGATCCCGAGAACGGCCTGGGAAACATTCACGACGAGCTACGTGACATACAACGGCCAGAGGATGTGGGACCGCAGGTTCTACAAGAACGGCAACGCGTAGCGAGTCGGCCGCAAGGCCCACCGCTCAAAGGCATGAACTTCAATAGAACCAAAGTTCGCCTTGAGCGGTGGCTACTACATACTTTTAGGCCACTCCATTATATAACACAAGTGGCCACACACACATACATTTTGCGATAACCGAGGCAGCCTCCTAAGGAGCAACGCCAACGGGAGTCGCCAAACAGAATTTATACACATGAATTTTCGTGTTCATCAACACGACATTCCGTCTGGCCAGACATCTGCTTTTACACAAAGTTGTGGTTCGTTACAAGATCGTGTTTGTCAACGCGATCTTAGCATGCATATTTTAACAGTATAAACCTAATTGCGTCGAGAATAATCTGTTAGCTGGTGGCAACACCTGCCTCGCAAAAGCGAGGCAGTTTGCATGTTGCTTTAACGCTCAGATCTTCTTTCTCCGCCCACCCTTGTCTCATTCTTCTCCGCCCTCGAGTGCCGAAGCGTTTTGGGGGGCGCACCGGGGGGGCACCAAAGTGTGCCTGGCGAAGAAAGGGGGACCCAGGGTGTTCCTTCTAACTTCACTTTGCAGCTGTGGCTTCGCTGATTTCAAGCCCAGCTGCCTCCTGACTTAAGGACTAAAGGAGTTCAAGGGTTACGGATTCCCTTCCTTTGTTCCCGAGTCCTGCTTTCACGGGCGGGATTCGGGACGGCGGGTGTGAATGGAACCCGTGTAATACCCTCATATATACTCCTTATCCTTACCTCTTCTGCGCCTGGCCGTTTGGGCTCAGGTATTGAGATAGATCGATCAGACCTTGATCGTGCGGGAGGGAAAGATATCCATCTATCCCTCCTTCTCTCTACCAACGGATCAGGGGTTCTGCACCCTTGTACTTCAACCCCATACACAATTTCACACAGATCATTGCGTGGAGGATGTTGTGTGAATATTTTTGTGGATGGTTTCAACGGGAACCCTTCTTGCGTAGGATTTCGATACGGATCCTTATGTGGAGGATTTGAAGAGAAATCCTTGTATCGAGGGTGTCGATGTTGACTGTTTGTATAATTTCACTATGAACGCAACGCCAAGACAATGCCAATGCACTGGTAGTGCTGTGTAAGCGCTTTGCCAGCGCCAGGACCATCGCAACGCCAAGGGGCACCGTGCTATGCTAACTTCCTGTGGGGGCGTTCACTAGGAATCAGTATGTGGAGGGTTGTCAATCAAAACCGTTGCTTGTGGAGGGTTTCAATGGAATGCAATGTTAACGAATGCAAGTGTTACGCTAGCTCTGCTAGCAATGCTAAGGGACACCAGTGCTATGCACTTATACACCATGACCGTACCAGAGCGTCGCCAGCACAATGCCAGTACAACGCCAGCACTTGGCCAGCGCAATGTCAATCCCCATTCGCCGCTATCCAACGCGAAAGGAATAAGCCTTCCTCCCCCTTTTATATTTCAATAGAAAACCTGCTGTGGATTCGGACTCCTATTATGGGGGATTCCGATAGGAGCCATATGATGATAAGTTCGGTAGGAATCCTTATGTGAAGGGTTTCAAGAGGAATGCAATACAATTCACATCCAAGGCAATGCGTGTGTTATGCCAGCGCGATGCCAGCGCAAGGCCAATGCAATGCCATGGGGCACCAGTGAACATTCGGTCCATATTTCAATAGAACTCCTTATGTGGATGATTGAAGTAGGAATCCTTCTTGTTTGGGGTTTCAGTACGAACCTTCTGTGGAGGGATTGAATTATATTTCTTATACACAGGGTTTCAAGGGGAACGCATGCCACCGCAATTCCAAGGCAATGCTTGTGGTGCGCTGGCGCTTTGCCAGCGCAAGGCCAATGCAATGCCACGGGGCATCAGTGAACCGTGCTTCCTTCCAGATTCAAATAGAAATCCTTGTGTGGATGATTGAACTAGGAATCCTGCTATAGAGGGTTTCAGTAGGAGTCCTCCTGTGGGTGAATCCAACAGGAATCTTTGTACGAAGCGCTGCAATAGAAATGCAATGCCTATTCGATTACGAGGCAATGCCTGTGTTATGCCAGCGCCTTGCCAGCGCAAGGCCAATGCAATGCCCAGGGGCAACAATGCACCTTTTTCTTCAATGTTGCAGTACAAATCCTTATGTGGAGGACTGAATCAGAAATGCTGATATGGAGGATTTCGTTTGGACCCTTCCGTGGAGGAATTGAAGAGAAATCCTTGGATGATGGGCTTCGAGAGGGATGCAGTGCCAAATCAATTCCAAGGCAGTACTTGTGCTATGCCAGCGCTTTGCTAGCGCAAGGCCAATGCAATGCCAAGGGGCGCCAGTGAACCGTGCTCCTTCTAGATTCCAATAGAAACCCTTGCGTGGATGATTGAACTGAGAATCTTACTATTGAGCGTTTCAGCAAGAGTCCCACTGCGGAGAAATTCAATAGACATCCCTGCGCGAGGGGTTTCAAGAGAAATGCAGTGTCAAGTCGATTCCAAGACAATGCCTGTGCTATGCGAGCGCCTTGCCAGCGCAAGGCCAATGCAATACCATGGAGCACCAATGAATCCTTTGTTTTTGTAGCTTGAAATCGTAATTCCTTCTGTGGAGGACTGAACTAAGAATCTTGATATGGAGGATTTCAGTGGGAGCCTTCTGAAGAATTCAATAGGCATCCGTCTTTGAAATGCCTCAACAGTGATGCAATGCCAAATCAATTCCAAGGCTATGCGTGCGCTATGCCAGCGCTTTGCCAGCACAAGGCCAATGCAATGTCAAAGGGGCACCAATGAATCGCTTGCCTGCTATATTCAATAGTTCAATAGAAATCCTCATGTTGGTGATTGACCTCAGAATCCTGCAATGGAGGATTTCAGTAGGAGCCTTCTGTGGAGGAGCTCAACCGGCCGCTGGCATGCCAGTTCTACGCAAGTCCGTGCCAAGCCATTGCCAGCACAATGCCAGTGCAATGCCAGCACGCGGTCGTCGCATGACACTCTCGATCGATGCGGACGAAATTAATGCTGTTTGTTCCCCGCTTGTCACTCGAAACCCGTATGTGGATGATTTAGATTGGGATCTTTCAGTGGAGGGATTGGTTAGGAATCCTTCTGTGTGCGCGTGGAGAAAAGGGTTGAGCATAGGAATCCTTGGTTCAGGGTTCCAGATGAATTGGTCTTGCGGGGGGAGGGTAACTAGGAATCCTTCTGATGGCGGGTTTCATAGGATTCCTTCTGTAGAGGTTTCAACGGAAGTCGCCAGCGTAGTTCAGGCGCAAGGCCAGCGCACTGCCGACGAAATGCAGCCCAATACTAACGCGACGCCAATCCAATGCCAAACCGCGCCAATGCAATGCCAACGGGGGTCCGCAGGGCAGAGCGCGGATACTGCGCCGACACGAGAAATACCGCAAACGACACGTCACCACCCGCCCCCCCTGAAAAAAAACACCCTTTCAACCAGCAAATGTGCGCGGCGTCGAGGCGAGAATGCCAGTCTTGAGAACATGTGCGCGACGCCGAGGCGAGAGTGTGATTATTTGAGAAATGGGATGCAGCAAGCTGCCACTTGAGAATCCCCCGCCCTCCGGCCTTGGGGGGTGTCCACTGCCGTGGCATGCACAAGTGTAGACACCTTGCCAGACATCCTTGGGTTGTGCTACGGGCCACGGTGGCGCGGCTGGCCGGACGGTCCGTCGGCCTGCCCGGTCGTTGTCGCGGCGGCCCGCCGCGTGCTTCGCTGCGCCTCTGGCCCGCGCGCCGAGTCGCCTGCCGTCTCGTCTGCCGGTCGCTGGCATGCTTTTCAAGCAGTGGCGAAGCGCCTTGGCTCGCCTGTAGCCCTACCCTAAAAATGTTCTGAGAACCTTTTGCGGTTTCCACGGCACGTTCTTCGAACAGTTCTGGCGGAGCCTGTCTCGCTCTGACACACGAGGCTTCAGTTCTAAAAACCTTGCTTCTGTTCTTAGAACATTTCTGGATTCTAAGAACATTTCGTGGTAGGACTATAGAAATGCCGGGACGGTCGGTCCCTGGTCAAGCCTTGGGACTTGCGATCGGGGCTGCGCCGGCTGCGCCCTCAAGATCAGCGCTACTGATGCGAGTGTGAACCCGCGCGGGTGAAGCCATCGCGCCCTTCTCCCTCCCTCCCTCCTGTTGCTGGCCTGGCTCTTCTCACGGCCCCCTTGCCCTCCACCCATTCTCCGATTGTCACCGAGCGCGTTCCACTACTCGCAACGTGCCTACTCGCAAACGCCCGAAAAACACATGTCTCCTTTGATGTAATTTATCGTCGATCCTCCGCGGGGGATCCAGGCCATTTGCGAGTAGTTACTTTGCGAGTAGTGGAACGCGCTAGTCTAGATTGAGGCACTGGAGTGCGAGTGCTCCAAGCCAGGCGCCAGAACCGCCCCGCGCCGAATCGGCGAGGTTTTTGGAAGTGTGTTCGGGATTCGATATTTTGGGGTAGGGGACAGCCAAGAGTAGGAGTGAGGATGAACGGGTAGAGGAGAAAGAGGGTAATGCGGAGCAAAAGAGGGATTGTTGGCACATGCGGCGACGATGCCAGATGATGCCAGGCTCCACGTGAAGGAGGGGCCGACACGCAGGTCACGAAAGGCTGGCCAGACCTAGCCATGATCCCCACAACGGGGCGGCAGTCACTCGTGGAGTCGCCGAACAGATGCGCAACCCAAAGGGTCAGAGTTGGTGTTCTCCAAACGTGCCGGCTGCACACTCGGTGTTCAGAAGCATGTCGTTGGCCTGTTTCAGGAGGGGGGAAAAACACAGACACAATGAACGGTCGATTCCCCAGAAAATATGGGAAATATGGAAAGTGGGGGGGAAGACGGAAACCCAGAAAATATGGGAACATATGATGAATCTGGTTATTTGTGTCTATTAATTTGTGTTTCCCAGTTCCCTTTCACTGTTGGCGACGATCATGGTTGCATGTCCAGCAAAGGTTGATGGTACCCTGGCGCCACAGGGCGCGCGAGGCATGGAGGCCCGAGAGCCAGCCACAACAGCTGGTGGAGTCAGGAAGGGAGTCGTTGTCGCCATTCTCGAGCGCAGCCATAGCGAGGCGTCCATACTTCGAGGGGGCGCTGCCGACGTCGGTAGCCTCCCTGGCCACTGCCGCTGTCGCCGATTCGATTCTGGCCAGGCGCAACCAGATGTGGAGATAGTCGCAGGCCGTGGAGCTTTCGTTGCACGTCGATGCCATGCTGCTGGACCAGCTCCTGGTCCTCGAACGAAAGATCTGTACCCACCAGGGGAACGAGCAGGCACCAATGACTCGCTTCAAATTCTGAGGCGAGTCAGCAGGCATTCGTTCCCAAGGCGCTCGCTGGCGCCAACGCCAAGGAAGACAGAGGCTTCGTAACAGCGCGGCTCGGGTCGCCAGGCAGAACGTTCCGTCCCGTCGGCCTGCTCCGACGGAACGAGGGCATGATGAGAAGGTGGAGGAGGAGGAGAAGGACGAGGATGAAACGGAGGAAGAGAGAGGGACAATGAGGAGGTGGGGGAGGAGGAAGACGAGGAAGGCAAAGGAGGAGGGTGGTGAGAAAGGATAGTCAGGAGGAAAAGGAGGAGGAGGAGAAGGATAATGAAAAAGAGAGGGGAGAGGAGGAGGAGGAGGAGGAAGGGGAAGAGGAGGAGGAGGAGGAGGAGGAGGATTAGGAAGAATAGGATGAGGAGGAGGAGCTGGAGGAGGGCGGGGAGGGGAAGGAGCAGGTCGTGGATGAACAGGACGTCGAGGAGCAGGACGAGGACGCACACGATCAGAGTGGAATGATGATGCTGATACTGATGCTGCTAGTGCTGATGATCATGCTGATGCTTCTGCCGAAAGTGCTGATGATGGTGATGCTGATGATGAGTTTAATGAGGATACTACCCATGATGATGTTGATGCTGCTGAGGATGATGAGGATGCTGATGATGTTATGATGATGGTGCTGATGATGATGATGATGATGATGATGATGATGATGATGATGATGCTGATGCTGATTCTGATGATGATGGTGATGGTGACGGTGATTGTGACTCTGATGATGATGGTGATGATGATGATGATGATGATGATGATCATGATGATGTTGATGATGATGATGATGATGATGATGATGATGATGATGATGATGATGATGATGATGATGATGATGATGATGATGATGATGTTTGCGATGGTGATGTCGATGACGATAAATCTGACGATGACGATCACGACGACTATGGTGGTTGTTGAGGAGGAGAGATACAATGGTCCTCAAGTGTTGGTCCAGCGCGGGATAGACCTGTAGAGACCTCCCCGCCCTTCCCCCCACTCTCCTATTCCTTCCCCAGTTGTCGCTGCTGCTGTTCGTCCTCGTCCTCTTCTTCTTCCTGCCCATGCTCCTCGTCCCCCTGCTCGTAGACGCGCTCGCCGCTCGGCAATGCTTGATAGCACGTTCTGACCACCCGTCCTTCATGGACGCACGGCCTTCTTGTCTTGTCTTGCTATAGCCTTGCTCATCTGCCGCCTCCTCCGATGTGTGCAGCCCCCGAACTGCGATGGAGCATAACACGATAGGGGTCCTTTTTGGGGGTTCCAGGATCGCTGTGACACACGTCCGCGGATAGGGAACAAATCTTCGCAATGGGAAGGAATTGGTGGGAGGGTTGAGATTTCAGATACGGCGCGAGCGGATCTAGCCTGTCTCTCATCTCTCCTCTCCTCCTCCGTCCTCCTTTACCAGGTTTCTGGGATGCAGCCACGGTCCGAGGAACCCCATCACGTGTTGAATGTCTCGTGGTGCCCCCTGCACTGGACAGCTCGCAGTCCCAGCTCGCTGAGTGCCGGATTGCGGCGAACGCGCGGCGGAACCGGCGGAGCTCGCAGGTGGAGTGCGGAGGGCTTCCGTTCGGGACCCTGCGCTTTGAATGCGGTCGTGTTGCACTTGGCATCGTTCGGACGTATGCTTTTTTCTTCGGCGAGGACCATCGAGGAGCATTGTGGGTCACCTTGCGAAACAATGCACGCACGAAATCGAAAAATGCACAGGGAGTGGGCGTCCGAGCGATGGCGAGTGCATGGTCTGATGCGGAATCGCGGGCTTGAGGCTCGGGGGTGACGAGGCGGCACGTGCGCACTGCTCTGAGGAGGCCACCGGGATCGTCCAGCCAGGCAGTCGCCCAACAGCTCAGCCCGCACGCTGCCGAGCTCTCACACAGCAGGACGCAACTCCCAGGAGGCTCAATCTACAGATGCGGCGCTGGCATATCCCTGGTCCAAGACTGGCCGAATCTGGTTCCCCATCCCGCTTGATCCAGCACACCCCCATTCAATCTGGCTCAATCACGCGCAATCCGGATTGATCCCGGCGGCCTCATCCGGTTCAATGGCCTCTAAATCGGGTTTTTTGCCAAGACGTTGAAGTAAGGACCAGTTTGGGATTGGAAGGTGCTCGCTGTTCCTTGGGTCATTCTGTGGTTGTTCCTCCTGCCCTCCTCGTGCACCCAGGCACCTTTGGTGCCCCCAGAATGAGCTTCGTTCCTTATTTCGTGTTCCTTATGTCACTAGCCCGACTGCAATAGCCCTTCATCGTTCTGACGAAGAGCTCCCAGCAGCTGCCTCCTAGCCGCGCAGCTCCGAGCCCCGCTCAATCCGGCTCAATCCCGCTTAATCCGGCTTGATCCTGGCGGCCTCTTCCGGTTCCCCTCAATTGGCTTTCATAGGCCTTCATCGGACGAGGCCAGGACGAGGATAAATCTGTTCCAGAGCGTTCTGGAACGCTGCGCCCGCATCCTCCAAACTCGCCGATTTTCAGAGATTCTCGATTTACATCGGTCCGATGTTGTTTCGATTCTGCCTTAGTCTTGTCGTTCTGACGAAGACCTCCTGGCAGCTGCCTCCCGACACGCGTCGGGAGCCTTGAGACGGGGGTCAATGCAAACGGGGGTCAGCCAGAGCGCGAGATCGTGCTGGATTCTGCAGAGCCAACCTAGGGTTGCACTGACCCGGGTCAGCGCGCAGGACCCTGCAGGATGCTGCAGACTTTTGCGAAATCCGACTGGCCTCGGGAAACAGACTACACGCGCTGAGGCAACTACGCGAGCGTTCAGTTGTCAACAATCCTTGGTTGGGAGTGCCGGTGGCGATAATTCGGGGGCGGCAAAGAGGGGGGTGATGACTAGGGGGGGTGGATATCATGGCGTGGGCCATGATATTTCCCAGATTTCATGGCGCCTTTTCTTATTTCATTCTGTCCCTGGCCCCCCCGCTGGGCCGCGCACATGCCGCTGGTCATGATTTGCACCCCCCCCCTCTTGGGCACCCCCTTTTTGGCCGCTCCCGAATACTGCGAGCGCCGCCCATCGAAGAGACCAGGGGTCTATTGTGGATCTGCCGCAGAACGTTGGAGCGAGGTCGCCGTCCCGATCTGGTAGTCGATGTGGCCCGCTCCTAGGCGGGGGTCCAAACTCGAGCTGCAAAGCGGAAGGGGCGTCGAGGCGAGAGACGCTGGGTGACGGACGCAGCGACGTGTCCGAAGATCAATCACGTTGTGATGCTTCGTGGAGCGGCCAGCACAGAGGAACATGTTTGGACAGGTTCGGCAAGCTGGGCGCCTGACGATCTCTTGGCCATGTCAGGAGGCGGCGGGATTTCTCAGAAGCCCTCGCGCCTTCTCGTGTCTTCGGGGAAGGCTCAGGAAACTTCTCAGAAGTGGGGGACTTCCTTGCCTTCTGAGAATGCCCGCATCTTCTCACTCCCCTCCCACGCTCGCCGCTGAACATGACCGTTTGTGGATCATATCCTCCATCTGCGAGGTTGTGGTGTGATGCGGCAGGCTCCTGGAGGTCTGCGTTGATTTACCCGCCCGCCTGGAAAGCAAAAACAAGTGCACATCGCGGGTACGCAAAGGGGGAGGGCGATCCCAAGGTGGGGGGAGACGAGCCAAGCTGGATGGCCGCACTTCCCTCTTCCAGGGGCCGTTCGGAGCGATTTTTTTCCTACCCACCTTTGCCCCTACCCCGCCTAGATGCCAGTCATTGGCTCAAAGGCTCGAGGGGACCAAATTTGCACTAGGGCGCAAGGCGCAAGGCGCAGACACTGTCAGTGTGGAGCGCCCCTTGTCTGGGCAAAGCCTGTTCCGTGAGCTGACCTCTGCCCCTATACCTCGCCGCTTCCACGACCCCCCCCCCGACGCGCAGGCCCCGGAAGTCACCACCCACCAAACCACCCCAACCCAACCCGAAGGCTCAGATTTACCCTCGATTTCCAGTGGGGGGGGGTCGGGACACATCGAAAAAACACGTGTGGAACCCTTACCCCCCCCAACCCGAAATTCGGGTCTTCGGGTTGGGTTGGGGTGGTCTGGTAGGTAGTCAGGAAGCCTGGACCCTCTCCTTGGGACCGCCTCTTTGTCCCGAGTCGATGTTCGACGGCCCCGAGGCCCGGCCAGAGCCCCCCCGAAGGCCGAAAACGACAAACAAAAAAAAACGCCGTTCCTTTTCTGGTTGTTCCAAGGGCCGTTGTAAAACGACGCGAAGATCGGGACAAAATCGGATCGGGATAACTCGAAATCTCTGAGAATCGGCGGGTTTGGAGGATGTATTGGGCGCCGCGGCCGCTCCAGAGCGTTCCGGAACGCTCTGGGAGCGCTCCGGAACGCTCTGGAGCGATTTATCCCGATCCTAGCCCTGTTTTACGTTGCCTTCACGCCCCCCCCCCCCCCGCGACATACGGGGCCCAGAGCGGCGGGCCGCCGCCGCAGGGGGTGGCCGTTGCTGGCTCGCGGCCGAGAGCCCCGCGTGGCCGACGACGGCGGCGACGACGACGACGACGATGATGATGATGATGATGATGATGATGATGATGATGATGATGATGATGATGTTGATGATGTTGATGATGGTGATGATGATTGTGGTGATGATTATGATGTCGATGTTGTTGCTGATGTTGATGTTGATGCTGATGGTGCTACTGATGATGATGGTGGGATCGGGACGGGATGATGGTGGTGATGATGTTGATGATGATGATGATGAGGATGATGAAGATGATGATGCCGATGTCGATGTTGATGTTGATGCTGATGCTGATGCTGGAGATAATGATGATGGCATGGGGATGGGGATGATGGGATGGGGATGCTGATGATAATGCTGATGATGATGACGATGGCGATGACGACTATGATGATGATGATGATGATGATGATGATGATGATGATGATGATGATGATGATGATGATGATGATGATGATGATGATGATGATGACATGTACGATGGAATTGATGATTATGATGATGATGCTAATTATGATGATGCTTATGCTGATGCTGCTGATGATGATGATGGTGGTGGTGAGGATGATGGTGATGATGATGAGTTGAGTGGGGGTGATGGTGATGATGATTGAGAAGTTTGATGAGTGGGGGTGATGCTGATAGTGGGTGGTGGTGGTGATGATGAGTAATGGAATGCTGATTGTGATGATGATTCAGGGCGATGGCGCTGATCATGTCCGCGGTGGTAGTGCTGATGATGACGGGATAGGATGAGCGGGCATGATGCCGATGCCGGCGATGGCGATTTGGCACGAGGATGCCGATGACGACAGTGGTGGTGATGATGATCACGGTGGCAGTGATGCTGATGATTGCGGCGGCGGGGCGGCGAGTGCGGTGGAGGGGCCGGGGCGGCCCCCGTCCAGGCCACGGGTCCGACGAGCTTCGGGCCGCCGAG